ACTAGCCGAGGTTTTCTGGTTGGGTTACCATAAATATACAAGCAGTTAAATACAAAAATAAAACCATGTAACCAAACATACAATAATACCAGAACAAAGGACACTACAAATATAGAAAAATGCACAACAGAATTAAAAGTTTTATAAATGTCAAAACTTCAAAAATATCCAAAGAACTTGTATATTACTATGGATGCAGTCCTATACACACTTACCATAATGTAAACCCTGGTAGACCTAGTGGGGCGTACCTCTGAATAAAGATGCACAGGATTGCCCTGTACAAGATTTTAAGATTAGAAAATTTAAAAAATCTTCACCTGGCAACAACCCCCCTAACAGGATAGATGCCAGACTAGAGATGCCAGGAAAAGCACTCCATGAACTGAGTGACACCATGAAAAAGCTGCATCATGACAGTCATTTGACAAAGCATCTGAAATAACCTTCACTGAAGCAATACACTAATTAGAACAGGTATGGCATGTTATTTCCCCTGTTTTGTTAATAAGGACAGTTTAGTGCAAGGACTGTTCTTAGAATTTTTGCAATGAGAAGTGCTGGGTTCCGCAATGAGAACATACCAAACTGGTTAATTAAAAATAATTTTGAAAATATTGCAAACTCCAGTATCTCTGATTCAGTCTTTGTTATGGTTGTAAACTCTGAGGATTGTTCTCCCACTCATCAGCAGCCAAGGTATGAAGATAAAAGATGGGGTATATAATCCATTGAGTAGGAATACATGGGAAGAAGGGTGGGGAGAATGCTAGTATATAAGAAGAAAGACAAGGAACTGTGCTGGGTGCAAAAACTCCCAAATTCTCTTGTTGGGAGGTGTTGGGACTTGTAGGCTTTTTTTTCTGTCTGAACATGTATAGGACTATGCCCTTACAAAGCTTGTGTTAACCTCTATTAATTTACATTTAATTTTTGAAAAGGCTTTGGGGCCTCCTGCTATTAAAGTTATTATGTTAGAAGCATAAGCACATGCATTTTTGATTCAAAGGAGCAATGTTTGGCAGTGAAATAATTGTGGTGTTTGCACTAGTTTTTGTGGTAGTGACTTTTTTAAACCTTGAAGACTCAATTTACTGACCTCTCTCTTATTAAGGCTAAAAGCTCCAGTTTTTAAAAAGTGGATTCCTAAATGGGATGAAATATTAATAGTTGTATTTAGGCCTATTTATGGAAGCCCATGTTGGTGACACAGGCTTCCATTTAGAAAGAGTACATTTATATTCCAGTGGCATTTATTTCCATAAGAACTAGCTTATTCTGTTTGGCAAGTCTGATTTGTGGTCATGAAAAGGTTCCTGCTATGCAGGTGCCTTCCTGGAATCAAGGTGTTGTTAAAGATAAAAAGGGTTGGGCTGCTGAAGTGCAGTTTAATAAGAGGTAAACAATCCCTTTCTAAAAAGGTCAAGTGGGAGGATACAGCCCACTGGTGTCAAAGCTGCCAGAAGAGATGCCAGGAGCAAACCCTGAAATCCAGAGACTGGAGTTCCACACCCCTGGCTGTAAAGGTGGCTCGTTTCTGTCCTTGCCTAGGACAGAAGGTGCATTTCATGACAGTACACTACTTTCACTTTGCATTTGAGTGCCTCAGCTGTCATCCTTTGCCACGTGTCTCAAGATACCAGAGGTTACTCATTGTCAGATGTTGCAAAATTTTCCAACACCAAGGATAAACTCATTGCTTACAAGAAAATGAAACCTGTACTTGTATGGTTAATCATTGTAGGAGGAAACTTGTAAAATACATTTTCACTGGAGTCCTGAACTCAGAAGTGAAATTCCAAAATATTTCAAACAAACACCAAACACATGCACATTCTTCAGAAACACTAAGCCAAACATATTCTTTGGGGATAGGGGAATAGCATATTCAGTGTGTAAATTTCTTTTCTGCCATTATGCCCCTCATTCTCAGTTACAAGCAAGTTCATAAAATGGCCTCATTTTTCAAATAATAGACCCATGTTAAAAGGCAGTGATTTGGACAAAATTCTTAGTAAGGTATTTGAATTATGGGATACTACAATGTAGCTTTGAACCTGGGATGAGGAACTTTTTATATTTTTAAAGAAAGAAATGCCAGACTTCTCTGTATCTTTTGCAACAATCTGAGATCAATTTACATCAAGCATTTTCTAATTTAGGATGCAATCCTAAGTACACTAACCTAAGAATAAATTAGATTAAGCATAGTGGATACTGTTGATTGATTGATTGTACTTTCCAAAGGCCTAATAACCCAAGCTCTTTGGATAGTGTACAATATACTTTTAACATAAAGGAAAAGCAGTGACACAACTAATACAAGTAGCACCTAATAAAGCCAAGATAAAAATAAGAGTTCATGCAGGAGCCATACTGGATCACACCAAGGCTCATCGAGTCTCATACACAGTATATTTCATACAGTGGCCAGACAGATGCTCACAAGAAACCCACAACCAGGTCATGAGTGCAATAGCACCTTCCCCAACAACTGGTGTACATAGGTGAGCTGCTTCGAATATGGAGGTAGCATGCAGTCATCAAGACTAGCAGCTGCTAACAGCCATCTCTTCCACGAGTGTGCCCAAATTCTCCTCTAAAGCCATCCATATTGGTGGTCATCATTACATTTTGTGGAAGAATTTAATTATGTGTAAAGATGTATTGCCATTTGTTTTTCTTGATTCTGCCCTGCCTCAGATCAGCTTGATTAGATACCCCCATGTTCTAGTATCATGAGAGGGAGAAAAATGTTTCCCCATTCACTTTCTCAAGCCATGCAAAATTCTGGATACATCTATCATGCCTCCCATTACTTGCCTTCTGTCTAAAGCTAAGTGCCAAGATCTAAAAACTGTTTTTAAAATACTTGCAGAATGCAAGGGTTTACCTGATGCTGAATTAACTGGGGAGGGCATTCTATAGGTACGGTGCCACCACTGAAAAGGCCCTCTTGTAGCCGCACACTTCACTTTATTTGTCAGGGCTACCTGGAGGAAAGACTCATATGATTATCTCAGAGTCTAGGTAGGTAAATATGATGAAAAGAATTGTGCTGTATATGTATACAACACTTTCTCTATTCTGTTTTAAACTTTTGCAAACTGAAGATTTGGCTTTCCATCTTTTTGAGTGTATCTGTTCTCCTCACTTCTGTGTGTCTGTTTAACATCCAAGGGGTTTGGCTGAAGAGTTTTGATAAACTTGAAAAACTTGCTTATTTCTTTGTAGCTGCTTGCTTGCCTGATATAACATTTTGATGCTACTGTTGCTATTTCATGATACTTTATATTGCCATGTTTAAGGCTAAGACATTCTGCTCAGTTTGTAACCTTTAATGATCTCCTCCAACTTAGTTTATACTCTATTAGCTTTATCTTAAATAACCCACAGAATACATTAATTTTTTCAACACAGCTTATTCAAAGTTCCTCTTCTTTATTGTGGCAAATTACCCAGTAATGACCCCAAGTTAAAAAAAAATCCAGGTAAACAGGGAAAATACATTTTGAAAGTGGGTTTTGCCCCACATGTAAGATCTGGGACAATCTTAAGAACTTATCGCTGTATTATGCATTAAAACCCCCCTCCTCAATGTATTTCCCCTGGAATAAACTCAGTTGATTTTGATGTAATTAATTTTCAAGCCAGTGTGCCTAGCGTTCCAGTCTTATTTTCAGTTCCAGTTCATCATTTGTACTTGAAAACTGTTTTTCCTTTACAGTAGTGTGCCATTTATGGCCTTCTGTATGTGTTGTCCTTAAATTCCTATCTTCCCTCACCTTTGGCCCTGTTAGTAGGGCTAATGGGGATTGTAAGACAAAATATTTGGAGGGTCAGTTATCCACTCCTGTGCAACCACAGAGTAGGGTGCTACAGGGGCATCCATGTTTAGAGTGCTTGCCCAGCATCATCCTATGCTACCAGTGATTTTAATTAATCATCCATGAAAAATTAAATACTGGATAACGCTTTAGAGGAAACCCCTCAACAACAACAAACTGCAAGGCAGCACACAAAACCCAAAGCCTGCACAGAAATAACTCTGCTTTCGTAGTGGGAGCTTTCCATGTGCACTGCCAGAGTGGGCCGTTCTAGGCTGAGATATTCTTGTCATGATAAGACTTCAAAAGCTGAGATTTGGCAGTGCTGATTCTGAATACGTTTGACCTTGTGCTTTCACAACACCTAGAGTGGATTAGCAACAAAGACCCTATCCAGATCAATCCTGGCATGACTTACGGTGTTTTAGTTAGCATTGTCACAAGGAAACACGAGATACTTGAAAGGAAGTCCCGGTGGAACTTGCACCGGTTCGAAGTTTGAGGAGTTGCAACAATTGCTACTTGCTCAGCGCTTACCGTGGCCGGCTTTGAAACGTTCTTGACTATAATAATAGCACGATAAATGCAGTGTTGTGATAATTACGTTTTTCCCATCTGGACTGCAATACTATGAACACTTACTTGGAAGGAAGCCCTACAGAAATCAGTAGTCATAGGTAGGATGTGGCTGGTAAGTTGCGTAGTTACTGCTTTGATGGCTGCTTCAAATACATGCGATTTGTATCAACGGTCGGGAGGGAAGAGGCAGGACAGTGTTGTTGAACTGCGCATAAAACTTGCCTGCATCGCAGAAGTGCCGGCCTGAAAATCGCTTTTGTTGCGACTGCAGTTTGCTAGGAAGAAGGCAGGGATTACCCCCACTTTATGCCCGCAAGTATTCCTAGGGATGTTGCGGGGGGTGCAGGGAGGCTTGCTGGCGCTGCGATAAACGCACCGATGTCGCCGCAACCGATCCCGTCCAGCCATGAAACGGTGCGCAACGTGGAGAAGCGCCGCTTCCCACAATGCAACTGCAGCGGCTTTGCTCGTGCACGCGCGCCGCGCTGGAGAGGAGCGGAAGTGGAGAACTACATTTCCCAAGTGGCATCGGGGCAGAGTCTCATGTGGGTCCCCTCCCCCTCTCCCCATGATTTCTAAGCAGAGGTAAACAAACTGTGAAAGAGGCAGGGAGCTACAGTATCTGCTGCAGGAGGCGGAGAAAGAGGCGAGATCCCAGGGAGAGAGGGCTTGGACCATGGATGCAGGGGCAGCCTCGAGGTGGAGAGGGAAGGTGTAGGGTCACGGAACAAGGGGGCAGGATGCAGGGCTAGGGGCTAAGACTGGGAATAGGTCGGAGGGGAATAAATATTGGGGCTGGAGGTTTATGGCGAAGCGTGCTTGGCAGGATCCGTGGTAGAGGTTTAGGGGGGGGAAGCCCGGGTAGCTCAGGACCGGGGAGGACAGGTTTCGGGCTAGGGGCTGGAAAGAAGAGGGACAGGAAATTTAGAGCCAGGCTATCGGGGTGGGATGTGACTGGGAAGCTGGGGCAACTGCTTGCAGGAGTTGTTAGGTATATTTTCTCCATCTTTTCGTGCCTCGCTGATTAACTTCCTGGAAGTGGCACCTCCAAATCCCTTGCTTGCTGTTCCCCCGATCTTCCACGCTGCCCGACAGAAAGTGGCGGACACACCTCGCGGTTACCACTCTTGCGTTAAAGAGTCAGCTGCAAGGGAGTAAAGGGGAGGGGTGGGAAAAACCGCTCACAGCTCTTCAGGAGGAGGTTTGACGTGCTCTGGAGGTAGGCAAGAGGCCTGGTCCACCCCAAGGGCTATGGAACGGGTAGAGATGATCAACATCCAGCGCCTTCTGGAGGCAGCTGAATACCTGGAGCGTAGAGACAGAGGTAACTGGGTTGAGAATGGGGTGGGGATTGAAGCGACACATACTCATGGGGGCATGGGAGGATGAATTATTCTTCAGGAAAGGCCAGGATGTGTGGGGAGGGCTTGGGGCGTGGGAGGAAAGTTGGGGGTGCAGAGATTCCCATGGTATAAATATGGGGTGGAGAGATGCCCACGGACTGGCAGCATCTCTTTCCACTGTTCTGGGTGCAGGTCTGGGAACTCTTGATGCAGAATTGCAAGCATTTGCCTCCTTCCCTGAGTTGCTAGGGAAGGGGAGGCCTCCTCTGACGGGCAACTTGTCTGCAGCCTTCGTGCCCCACTTGAGTTCTGTTATTTGAAGCTCAGTGTGCTCCCTGTGGGTTATTTGGGGGTCCCCCAAGCCTCTGCAACTTGCAGGCTGGGAATCTACTGTTTGTTTCCTGTTGCCTCCTAACCCCTTTTTATTTATTTATTCCCATTTCTTGATGATTTATGCAGAGTGTGAACATGGTTATGCCTCGACTTTCCCTTCCGTGCCGAGCCTTGGACTGCAGGTCCCAAAGCCACCGCAGAGGTTGAGCCGGGGAAGGAAGCATAGCAGCGGAGGTAGCACAACAGGCACTGCTAACAGGTACAATCTGGAAGGGGGGCTGCTGGGTTAAAAAGATGAAACTAATCCCATCCACCCATCAGGCATGAGAGGTTGCATTTGACTTGGAACCTCTGCTGTGAGTTCGGTTCCACTTCTCTTACAGTTTCATTTCCCCTCGGTCCTTCATATCTCATGTCTTTTAATAGAAGGGTTTCCCAACAGGCTGTTGTGGTAGCTGGCTCTTTAAATCTAGCAGAGCCAGTCTGCTAGCTGGATATGTAATGCATTGGCTGCTGCAAGTTGTGCCGTACTCCTTTGATGTAACTTTCATCATTTGTTCTTACTGAAAGCTTTTCTAAATAAGGATGTTTTTTACTCTGGGGAGACTAAGTTGGTTTTGAGCCCAATCCTATGCATGTTTACTTTGAAGTCAGTAGCACTCTCAGGTAAGTATGTCGGGGTACAACCTAAATCTTTTCAGTTAGTGTGTGAGAACAGACCTGGATTCTAGATCTAGCCGTATTTGCTTGCTTGTGCATTAACCAGAGAAATGAATAAGCCCTCTTAATGTACTTCTACTTTGTTACTTATGTTTACTGTTTGTATGACTTTAGGTTTGGTGCACACTGGCTTGGATGCCGATGTACCTGTTTATCAAGAACTTCTTATCACTGTGTGAATTTTTATTTAGTAGTGAAATGTAGAAGCCTTCTTTTGATAGCTCGTACTAGGGCAATGCAATAATGATACCAAGGTAATGAATGAAAGGGCACTGCAAGAGCAGAGTTGTGAACAAGCAACCCACAGAAAAAACACCTCCCAAAACTGTGCATTCTTCTACAGAATAAGGATAATATTTAGTAGTTTTATAGAGTGTTTCATGCAGAGGGCTACCTTTGTAATTTTATTTGAATATTTTTGGCATTTTCTAGAATTCTCATCTTTTCTATTGGGGATTCTGAAATTACCTTGACAAAAGTCATCCCACTGAGAAAAGCATTCATTTACTTCTTTAAAAGGGTAAATGTGCGAGAGAGGGAAGTTTCAGAGGGAATCCCATTTCAGAGTGATATGAAAACCAAATGATGCCTTAAGCATTTGTGATATCCAATATTAAAAAATTAACCTTTGATTGCTAGATAGTTACCATTTTGATTGAATTGCATCTCAAACAGAAAGTTTAGATCTTCCTAAAAATAGCTTTTTCCATCTTGTCCAAAAAGGCAGAAGTTTTGCCTTAGATGTTGACTTTAACCAGAAAGGTACCCAGGCTTAAAGAACTGGAAGGGGTCCAAGTGTGGGCCTTAACCTGAATGTTGTTAGTGTGCTGCAGTGTTACAAGCAGCAGAGTGACAGAAGTGGAAGTTAAGGATCATGAGGGAATGGGAGAAACGAAGAAGACAGGAGTGGAATAAGAGAAGGATGTGTTGAGCTGATGAAGGATTGAAAGATATGTTGTAATGAAAAGATACGGGTGTCATTGTTTGGAAATTTGAACATGTAAAAATGCAGTGTTACTTAAACTTACTCCCAAGTAAGTGAGTGTAGGATTAAAACCTTAATCACCATGGCATAGTAATGTCTGGACTGCTGTGATATACTTTGATATCATAGAATATTCTGGAACTAATATTTCATTCAGAGTCAGAGCATAATGGGCTTTGTGCTGTTGATAAGAAGAGCACGGGGAGCTGGGTTTTCTGCTGCTTAGTGGGCATTTGTTTTACCTTCTGGTGCTAACTTTATGGAGGTGGTTAAACTGAAACAGTTCTGTTTGGAAGACAGCGCCTCTACATACATATTTGGTGCTATCTAGGTATTAAGAAGAACTGAATTGCGATAAACTTTTCAGTTAACATTTGTGACCTTCGTTTGTATTTTTTTTCTGCATCCTTAACCAGGCCCTAATAGTATAAAAATGTGCTGAGATTATTTTCTGTTTAACTGAGAGGGTTTTCACACTGAGGACTACTGGATCTGGTACAATTATTGTTTCACTGCTTTCTTTGCTTGGGGATAGATGTGGCATTTGACTCCATTTAAATGATTTGCTATGAAGGAGTCATCATCCTTCTGTATTTACATCAACACTGGACTGGGCAGGGGGAAGGATATGAATATCTGCAATAGTAGTTTCACTGCTGTTTGGTTCATTTCTTCTAGCATGTCTCTTTGGTGAAGGCAGCCTGTGGCAGTTGTTGAGTAGCAAGATTCGCAGGACACAAGCACACAGAGTCTCAAACACATAAAAGAGCTGCAGGCTGGACAGGCACAAATTGATTGTATCTTGCCGTTTGTGCTGGTTTCTATGTTTTCTTCTAGGGAAGAGAGCAAGGACCAGGATAGGGGCTGCTCTGGGGTTTGGGCTATAGAAGTTGAAGCTGCGCATTATATTGCCTTATCTCCTCTCTCCCAGCCCTGATGCTCCTTGACTATCTGCCAGTGTGCCTGCATTGGAGCATTATTTCCAGGCTCCTTGGGTCTTCCAGCATGATATGCACATAGGTGAGGGTAGATGAGTCTTTCTTGCTCCTGTGCCATTTTATGTTTCCTGTGCTCAGTTGCTGAGATTTCTTCCCCACCACTTCGCTGCTTTACCAAAGTGAATGGTTGTGTGTGTATGGGGGGGGGGGCAGCAGAAGTGACTGAAATTAAGGAGAATAATAATTAAGGCATGGGTGAGGGGATTGAGCTCCACTTGCCATGGTGCATCTTTTTGCAAAAAAAAAAAAGACTTTTCACATGCAGTGTCACATGAGGTGCAAGTGGTACAGCCATGTGAATGAACACATGTGCCTGCCACTATGGCATGCAGTCTGGCTCCTGGTCGTCTCCTGATAGTGGGTGTTCTGTGTTGTACTTCCCAAGGGTAGAACCTCTTTCAGCCTGACTTTAGGAAAAGCTGTTGGGGCTGCGTTCCAGTCATGGGCAGGAGTAACAACAAAGCAAAAAATGCCCACGTGTTGTAGCATAAAGCTCTTACTGCCAGCAACTAAACCTTTAGAGAGCATTTCAGACTTTTAAAATGGAGAGAAAACTGAACAGATGCAGGAAACAATCAGTGCTTAGTGAAAGGGGTTGGGCCAGGGGAGGGGATCATGACCTTCTGGCGATCTGAGAGGGCCAAACTTGGTGCTGGATCTGAGCCTCTATATCTCTGCTGTACTTGTACCAGATTACCAGGGTGTAAGTAGGGCTGTGAACATATTGGTTGCAATTAAGAAACTCTGTAGGGTTCCACAGTGCAACATGGATAACTAAATTCCACGGCCAGACTGCTAGGCACTTTGATTTGTTGAGTGGAACCTCTGCAATTTTTTGGGCCCTATTAACTATATGTACTTTGTCACCTATGAATTCAGAACACACTGTTTCCTTGTGGACTGGGGCTCGGATTGATTTTTTTTTCTTAAACAGAGGCCATTTTGTCCCATTATAACTGAAGGGGTGGATAAATAGTCCGTTGGACCAAGGGTGGTTCATTTAGTTTAATACACCGAAGCTGCTCTTCACTGAATGCTGCTGCTGCACAACCCTGAATTGTTTCAATAGGACTTGTGTGGGAGTAGAGTCTGGTGAATTGCAGCCTCAGTGGCTCCTCAATAGCCAAAGCATTATTGCATGAGCAGGAAATCAAGAAAACCACATGTATGCAAACTGGTGCTTTTTCCAACATATAATCAGGTTAATGAAGTTAAAGTGGGCTGTTGTGTAAGCCAACAATCCAGCTGGGTTCATAAAAGGACATGCTAAATTGAGGCTAAGAGCGCTGGTGGCTAATAGTAGACATGGTCAGCAGGCATAGCTGACTGTGCCCAGCTTAGGTAGGAAGATGGAAGCAAACAGTTTGGAGTCCATTGCTCTGTAACAGACATGTGATGTCTTGTACAGTTCCTCTGAAACAGCTCACGGGAGCTCTTTCCAGCGATGGGATACCAGGCTGATTTCAGGCATCAAGTTATAGTATTTTGGCTTATAGCAGGGGTGCAGGACCAAGATAGGGGGGTGGCTAAATTGCCTCTCACCAGGCCCTCATGGGCTCACTGGGAACAATGCTCACAGCCACTATCGTGTGTCATGCTTGCCACTGCTGTGCCTATAAGCCTTATGGCCTTGACTGTCGTATTTCAAAAATATTCTTTAATTTTAATGCATCAGGTTTCTACAGTCATGTCAAAAATCAAAGTGGACTTTCAGAAGGAATTAATTTGGCTTAAAAAAATGAGAACATAGCACCTTGCTTCTTCCACACTCTGCTCTCTCCTTTCTTCATGGCTCCTTTGCTCTTCTGGTAAACCTCAGTAAGGCCTGTATTCCCTTTTATCCTTCACCCATCCTATCCTTAACAAATTGTTCTCAAGAGTGTAGAGAAACCAAAGTTCCTTTTTAAAGCAATGATGCAATGTTAAAGCCATGAAACTATCCATGTTCAGACAGAGCAAAGCCTAGATCCAACATTCCCCGGCCAGCTATTTTGTCTAAATATGCATAGGATTATGCCCTAACCATGTTTATGCAAATACATGTTTTACTGCAGCAGAATTTGGCTCCTGTTGATTTAGTCTGCAATACTATAGACAGTCACTTTGGAGTAAGGTTCGCTGAATTCACTGAGACCTGCTTCCAGGTTAACATGCATCTTTTAGACATTCAAGTTCTTTTGTAAAAGTGGTTATTTTAGGTATAGATTTATCCCTGACCGTGGTGAACCTTGGTCTGTAATAGAGAAGCATAAAACGTGGCAAGAGTGAATGGCTTGATCAAGGCATTAGGCAAGACTGTATCCATGATCCAGAACAAAACTGCATCCAGGATTATGTAGGCTTAAGATTTTTTTTTTTTTGCTGTGTATGCATGCAACCGCAAGAGCTTGCAGGCTCCTAGCATTTGCAATCAAAAGACCTTATGCAGCTATTCCATCTTCTCCTACTCAATATGTATTTATTGTGAAAAGGCTAGAAGTGTTACAAGTTGGATAGCATCATCTGAGAACATCCCTTCCCCACCAAAAAGGAGGCAGAGCACTTGCACCTCAAAAG